GCACCGTGTAATGTGGTGTTAACCAACGTTTCGGAGGAACTTATCACATCCATCTTCAGGGTTGAAGGAAAAATAAGAAAATCCGCAAGCGAAGAGGCGATACGTTCCCCTGAAACGTCGGTTATCACCACATCTACACGATGCCACATCACAGAAGACTGCTTTCTTTATATTCACTGCCGTGAAAACCTCAAATCTTACATATTTTTTATTGCTTGTGGGGTGGGACTAAGTCCCTCGTACTGCGTCCACTTCTGGTCTATTGTACCAGCCCCAGATGAATGAATGAAGATTGGCAAGGGAAACCGAAGTACTTCGAGAATACCTGCCCAGAACCACTTTGTCCACCACAAATTCCACTTGACCAGACCCGGGATCGAACCCGGGCCGCCGCGTTGGGAAGCCAGCGACTAACCGCTTGAGCTATGGCACGGCCCCACGAAACAAACATAAATCAAGCCTGAAGCAAATAGATGTAGCCGACACCAGGCAGATTTCTCCCTTACATTTGAATCACCGTACAACTCACCTCACTGCTTTCGTCTCCAGTTCTCCAGTTCTTCCTCCAACAGTCAACTTTGGGCTTAACGTCACCGTAATCGGGAATAGGAAAGTTCACAATACCACGTCTCCCAACACGCCCTTTTCCCTTGATGTCCCGAGTCGCCTGCACAGGTCTCGCCCGACTGGCCCTTACTCGAGTTTCTGCAACAGAACGAGGCCACTAGTAATTAAATATTTTTTTCCAACTGTAATGCAGGAAACGTAAGACACTCAGTTCTGCAACTGAGAGAAATTGCTCGAAAATTACTTGCTTCATTTGGAAATAAATTTCAATACTGATCCATCACTCATTCTAACCTCAAAATTATGCAAGCGAGATGACGGAAGCAATCCTTTTCACGTCATGTGTACAAGAGATATAAAGACATGGTGAAAACATGGAGCAAAACGGCCCTGACTTTTACCGTTCATTATTTCGTATCTACATTTCTTCAAGCCCTTCATTCTGACATCCTGTTACAATTTTCCATTTTTTCCTTCCCGTTTTCCATAATAATAATATTATATTTTTTGCGTCGGACAATTCAGTTGTATCTAGCAGCTGTGTATGGACTGGGCGGAAGGTTTTAACCACGTAAAAGAAAGAAATTTATCTTCTTCTCTGCTTCCAGACCTACGATGAGGCTCCAACGGTACTGGATGAACTTGGCACAGTTCACGAATGACGTGGCTTTAAGCGGAACGTGCGTTAACTGCACTCACAACCAAA